AAGTACAGGAATCTCATTTCTGTAAGTACGAAATTTAGTAATCATGTTGTTATAAATGGTAAGTTACAATAATGCTCAGATATTTCGCAAAAATTCGCTCTTCAGTGCACCGCTGTAACTTACAACAAATTTTAAACTGAAAGCAAGATTTTCATTCATCCTAACTTATCATATCTCACTGCAGTGAGCTGCTGTCTCTACACGACTACAGTAGCATTTTCGGCTAAATATGATAGCTATTCACATGTACACCATAAACATTAAAAAATTTGTTATTCGAAATATGACGGTTTCTATAATTTGCAAGTATCACGAATAGGAACGACGAGCAATGAAGAGACAAGTTTTTGCGTCCTTAAAAATTGAAAAAAGGCACAAAGTATTGTATTGATTTCGCGGAGTTGCCGCAAAAAATGTGCGTCGCCTATCTATTAGGTTGTCCCGAAAGTTTTGTCCGTTTTTTTCATGCTTATCAAAACTCACAGAATACCAATCCGTAGACGACTTAGATACAATTAACCCAAAATTTTATCCTCTTTCTTACTGCTGTATTTGCTCTCTGATCAACCCTGCTTTGTAATATTATCGGCATGGCTTTTCGAGCAGGACAGCAGTAACGCCAAACCTTTCATGAATTTCATAAATTTTTATTTTGTTTTCGAAGAGGGTAACTACAATCCAAAACAAACCTTTGGCTACATTGTAATCGTTTTAGATTACTTGGATCACTTTACTAAGTTCGTTATAATTATTTATTTTATAAAAACAGCGGCTTTTTGATTACGTTTGTAAAAGTTCCGAGATTTTAAAAAGCTGCTCTTTTAAAACAAATCAAGCTTGATTATGTTGTATAAATAATGTTAAATAAAAATCATGTTTGAATTTGCAGAAAATTCGAAAGCTTCCACGTTTTGCTGCAGTTGCTTGTTCCATAATTTTGCCAAAAATCAAGACCTCCAAAGAAATAATTTTAGGCTAAAAACAGCAGATTAGGAAAACCTAAAAATACCATCTATTAGCGATCGCTAAGGAGCTTGCTGTAAATAATTCTTATTGACACTGAACATATGATCTAATAATCATTTTTTTACATAACTGAAGAACACTACTTAGCTTTGGATAAAAGTATTGTCATCAAATCAACTATTCACTTCAGAAATCATATTAGCAATCGCTAAGGAGCTTGCTGTAAATAATCCTCATTGACACTAAAGATATGATCAATAATTATTTTTTGCCTACTGAAAAACAACACTTAGCTTTTCTGGATAAAAGTATTGTCATCAAATCAACGATTCACTTCAGAAATCATATTAGCAATCGCTAAGGAGCTTGCTGTGAATAATCCTCATTGACACTAAACATATGATCAATAATTATTTTTACATCACTGAAGAAATTACTTAGCTCCTCTGGATAAAAGTATTGTCATCAAATCAACGATTCACTTCAGAAATCATAATCGGCTAAAAATCTGGCTGAAAGACGTTGACCAAACATTTGCCATAACCAACTATTATATTTAGATGAAGATGAGCAGAAGTGAGTTTCGAATCATGAAGCACACAAAAAGCTTGCGATCTAATGGCCTTGAAGAAATGAAAGCTCTGGATACAAAAGGAAGCTAGTACTTGCTTTTGTAAAGCAAAAAGCCAATTTACCGTCTCTGGTGAGAGTTCAAAACAAGCTCATGCACGATAATCATGGCACGGTCTTGTATATACATGTTTAGACATAAATTCGCAGCACGTTATAAAAAAGCCGCAAATTTTGGAGGGAAATAAATTTTGGGCGTTCATTGATCAAGCCTTGAGCTAAGTATTTGCATCCATGATACTTTGTTTGGGAAACATACGATTTTTTTGACATCTAACTTTTCGGTAAAAAAAATAGTCTTGAGCATCATTTTTACAAAAATTCAATTCGTTTTGAGCATTGCAAAATTTGATCGAAAATGGCAATGCAACTGGGGTAACTTAATGATTGTTGTATGATTAAACAAAGACTTCCTCCACGTCGATTGGCAAAATGATTGAAAGCTCAGAAATTGTAGAATTGTCATTCGACACAGTTGGTCACAAACCACGGATACACTCTAGTCACAATTGCGGGATTAGTTCAAGGATTAACACATTTTTTGCTACAGTAACTGTTAAGAGATTTTCTTTATCTAAACCTCTAAAGCTGATTACATTAAGCGATTAAAAAAACTTGCATATGACTGTTACAGGACTTTATTTACAAGCGTATAAAAGGAAACTGTGTCCGTGTCGTTGTCATACGCTCTAGATTTCTCGCTTCAAATGTTGCTGGGCTTGCCTTCCACTAATATTCCTATTGAGGCCACAGGGTTATCTCTCAGTATAAGTCATTACACTCAACATAAATAGCTCTATTTTGCAGCCGCTTTACAATGCCGAGAAATTCCAGAATCAACAGTAAATTTCTCTTTTTTTCACAATCCTAATGCTTTGCTTCTTGGCCAGCACAGAAGCACTCACGTGTGAACTTTACGGTCCTTTAAGGAATTTAGATTCGCTTCATGCAGAGTTGGGTTAAATGCTTCGAGAGCATGCAGATTGTAGCACGAAAGTTCTTGCATGTAATGCAAGAATTCTGACAAATGAGTGTTTATTGAAACGACTTTCCCTTCAACTTCTCCTCTTTGCTAGATTCCGAAAAACAAATGGGTCCCGGCTTTTGAGAAAAACGCGCTTTAGTCAAATAGCCTGCGCAGTTGGTGTGATCAAGGGGAGAATCGTGAAGTCAAAGCGGCAAAGGCGCAATCCCTTTACAGAGTACTTGCCACCTTCGTCCCGGCCCTAGTTCACATTTCTGGCAGCCCTACGAATTCTATTCGTAAACTTCTATCACTGCTGTGTCTGCAAGTTAGAAAGTACCTCAAATGCTTTTGTAAAGTGCATGATTATCTTTTTCAAACGAGTTCAAAATTTTAGAGAAGCAAATGCTTCGGAATGTAACAAGCTACAAATTTTTAAAAATGGTGCTAACAAATCTTCGAGCCAACCTAATAATTTCACGGAAGCCTTTTCATGCGAACATCGGACTATCATACTACGCTTGGCATGTACATCTCACTTCAAATGGTTTCTGCAACTCACAGTATTTTCCGTGAATTGAAGAAAAGGCAGACGTAGGTATCATACGTGTGAAACAAAATGCTGTAGATCTTACCAAGGGATCCGCATCTTGAGAATATTCGCTATTGCAATACAAAGGGAGTCATTTAGTCAAAAGATGTCAATGCTCATAAATATTGAATCAGTTGAAATGTTTTTTATTCACTTTCGCCCTTTCACAGCACACTTCAATCATTCTTGTTCTAGTCCCCCCCCCCTGGTATACGTTAAGCGGAGCATTTGCAGACATCTGAACCCGTTGATAAACTTATTCACCCTCTACTAAAGTTGCTTTCTGTAATCTCTCGCTACGAACCCTGTCACTTATGACAACAGATATATACGTGGCAATTTAGAGAGTACAAAGAGCTATGTTTTGTAGTAAAGTTTTAATAAGTCACAAACGCCTTCAAATGTCTGCAGACTCTCCGCTCAAGGTACATAGGGGAAGGCAACGATACTAGGGGCGGTATTTATCAATCTCCCATTTAGAAAGGGAATTCTTGTACAGGTAACAGCTTGTACAAACACAGCACTGGCGCCTTCGATACACGAAGCCAAGAGCTGGTGTCGGGCTCCTGTCTGTTGGCGAATATGGTCCGATCTGGCAAGTGGAGATTGATAAAAAATCATTCAAATCTATAAAATTACTGGAGCTCTGATGCACGGTATGCTATGAGATCCAACTTGGAAGTGCATACTAGCAAGATATTTAGTGTACTAATTCCAAGGGATGATCACATTCCCTGGAGACACAGTATGTGCCTTTGAACAACTAATTCCTGAGAATGTGGCGCTATATGTTTGCCAGATTTGGATCTTTGAACGCTTATAATCTTTTTCATAGGCCGGCATCGCGATAAGAAGGTAGATCTGGATCAAGCAAAACTTTTGTGTACTGCTTTCAGCAACTCTTCTGATAGAGGAATCTCGATTGAAAAGATTACGACAATATTATAAACTCCTCAACCTTCAATTATTATCTGATCATCCTCCTTTTCATTTCGTTCAATTCCTCCTTCTGTGCATAAGCATGTCCATGTAAACTTGAAATGAAGTTGCCAAGGTCTGCTGTAGCTTAAAAATAACTCAATTAATAGTCTATAGCTTTGCAGAGTCAATAAAAATTTCAGCAACCGAGAACTTTTGGATAGATCATGATAAAGCGCAAGCTTTGTTTGCTTCTTCTCTGAAAAGGCGATTACCGATATTTTTTGTTTCAGAGAAAGAAACTGATGAATTTATAGTTGAACAAGCGAAATAGTTGATGACAGAGTTGTGCATATTGTGCACAATTTTATGAGGTTTTGTTTTTGACATAATTTGCGACATTATCTCTTATAAATGCCTAGATATTATTAGGTTGTCCGGAAATTAATGCAGGTTTTGAATTCCAACCGCAATAAGTCATATACTTCTCATTCCTGAATAGATTGCAAGTATCATTCGATAGAGCAAAGCAAGTTCTACAAGAAGGAAATTTTGCTTTTACAAGAGGTTTTATCCACCTCGAGTTCCGAGTCGAAAACTAAAAAGATCCACTTGCTTAAAAAAGTAGAAAAATCGTAACTCAGTTCAAAAAATCCTGTAAAACCTGTGACTTGCTCATGTAAACTCCACATAAGACGTCTATATGCGCCGCTACCGCACTTTTTTCTCCGTTAAAAATCAAGAAAACGAAAAATTTCGTACATTCGCCAAAGTGGTGCTGTGCCGTCCCCACATAATTAGTTGTATACTACAATCTGTAGAAGTATGAACGTGCCATGCCGGGCATGGCAGCCTCTCGAGATCGGGCTCTGCTGCCCGACATGGCCAAACTTGCCAGATCGGACCACGTTCTGAAGTTTGGTGAATCATGGGAGATCCCTCGCCTGTTCGGGCACTCGTTAATAGCCCGAACTGCGAGTTCGTAAGTTTTCAGCTCTTTACCAGCTTTGAGAAATATCTCGAGAAATATCGAATATAGCTTTTGTTTTTCTGCCAAATTATGACAAAGACGTTTCGTTGTTCGTCGTTTCATTAAACGCTCGATGTACCGTTACTTTCTCACAATATTATTTTCCAGAGACTTTACGTCAGTTCGACAAGAATGAGAATTTTCAAACTTACCTTCTTGCTACTTACCATCTTAGTGGTAGGTTGACCAAGCAAGACATGACTTAGTTTGCGATATTACTCCTTAGACTTACTGACTGTACATTACTTTGATGCTTACAGATTCTCTCTGCTGTGGACGTTGGTGAATGCGGAATCAAAAACTTTTTCAAAAAAATTGGAAAGGGTTTCAAAAAAGTTGGAAAAGCAGTCGTAAAAGGGGTCAAGGCGATTCCGGGGATCCTTGGAACAGTGAAGGAAGTTCAAGATAATGTGATGGATATTAAAAATAAATGGAAAGAAATTAGAGGAAATTGATATTTTGTGCTCGATTGTCGATAAACCTTGGTAGTGTGATTCAAATTGTAATACAGTTTAAGCTGCCGACCAAAGTTGGTAGGAAGACTTTATTGCGCGATAAGCCAACGTTGATGGTCCGTCCGCCGTCATCAGGACTTCCTAAAAGATCGAGACTTTGAGAACTGCCCGCTCAAACGCCCTCTTTGGCAATAGATTCAGTTTAGCTATGTGATGGAGTGGCATAGTAGATGTTGAAAGCCTGAGTTCAGCCTTGTCAGATCGGTATATAGAGACTGAACAACCAGTACTGTATAATGGTCAGGGTCAACCATACCCTTTATACGGTTATAGAAGATTTCGTATTAGAATCCACATAGTGTTTGATAGGAGAACAGTTTGCTGTTTATGGCAGTGCCTTCATCTTTGCGGTTCATTTTTGGTGGAGACGCTCCAAAAGGCCTCCAATGTTTTGCGGGCTAATAACTCGGATTCGTGCGACAAAATCGTAACAGTGACTTGCAAGTACTCGTTCTCATGACGTAACCTTCGATGTACACCCAAAGGTGTGGACATTTTGGATTTTCTAAGGCGTCAAGATGTCCTTTGATTCTTGTGCACAACGGTCTGCCGGTCTCTCTTATGTATTGGTCACCGCATTTCTGACAGGTTATGGAATATACACCCCAATTCCATGAATTCTCCTGATTTTCAAGAGCTCAGATGAAGCAATCGGCGGTCGTGCACATTTTGTCATACACCCGATTGCGACGTAGTTTTTTTTTTGAGATTAGAAGTAGGGATATCTTAACTGTGACGGAATCATCGAGACCCACTTAAAACAAAGATTTTCTGATAGTTCTGCTAAAATTATCAGTTATGGAACACAGAACGGTACTTTCGTTGTCTGGTTCATCTCGATCGGTCTGCTTTCTTGTCTATAGGCATTGGTACAATTTTTACGAGATTGCCGTTAGAATACGCAATCTAGGGCGGTATTTATAAATCTTCTGTATAGGAAGGGGTTTCCCTACAGGTAACAGTCCGTACAGGAGCGGGTACTAGCGCCTGCGATATATGAGGCCCAGCTGGTGACGGGGCTCCTGTCTTTTGAAGAACACGGCCCAATCTAGCAAGTTTGGCCATATCGGACACGGTAGTCGTCGGGCAGCAGTTCCCCATCTCGACGAGTCAGGCGGCGCTGCCCGTTTGGGCCGCGCTTCCCAGACTTTCGTAAATCGCAGGAAGGGCGCTCTCGCCTGTGCGGGCTCTCGTTAACAATGGCTCGCACAGCGAGTGGGAGATTGATAAATACCGCTCCTGTTTGGCAAGATTCATCGATGCATTGCGCTGTTCAACGTTAGATGGAACCGAAATTGTTGTCTTGAACATGTTGCCTATCGCGGACCGTCTTGTGCTCCAAGGTTCCACAGAGCGGTAGTGAATCAGTATACTCTTACCAGCCCGATTGCGGAGCCAATTAGTTACGTATGATCCGTAAGGCAAAGACATTAGACGCTTAGGAAAGCTAGCCAATTTTCGTCAGGTTTATCCCGCGTGAATCTTATGTTAGGAGGTAGGCTGATAAGAATGTCAAAGCACATGTCTATTTCACTTTGAGTTGGCCATATGATCCAGCGTATCCGTCAATGTATCCATAAAAGAGCAAGGGCTTGGAGCAAGTACGGGTTTTTCGATCTTTGACATGAAGGCGATTGCGATGACGGGAGTCAATCTTTGCCCTGTCGCTAGGCCACGTACCTGCTTGTAATACCTTCCTGATTAGCAAAATATGCTGCAATCCAAGCTTTTTTAAAAGTGTCATGATTTGTCACTGAACCCATAAATGTTAAGAGCAGATTAATGTTTCGAGAGTAGCTCATACACCGCTTCCTTAGCATCCTCATTGAAGACATTTGTGTACAACAAGTGACATCTAAAGTCTCAATTGCACAATCTCGTTGACAAAAACATTCTAGTATTCGAAAGATGGGCAGGCACATACGTTAGTAATTGTGTCAGGATCAAGTTTAGTAACCATTTTGAGACTCTATCATTTGGGCCACCGCAGATGCTTAAAATGGGTCTTACTTTGTAGTTTAAGGAATATCCGAGAGAAAATCCTGACGCGAGTAGTTTGTGTGTTTTTATTAGTACGTAAAGAGCTGGACATTTGGGTAAATCGATCTTATGATACGATATCAAAGCTTTAGGTAAGCCGATGGTGTTCGCTATATTTACCCCCACTATGCTCAGGCACGGCTTTTGCATTGACCAATAACATCTGGGTTCTAATATTTATTGCTTGATGTGTACTGACCAAGTGTAAGGTTCGTCAAAGCACTGGATATCACGTGCCCCCTCCTCGTCCGCTAATCTTCCCTTTATACCGTCAACTGGACCCTCCTTCCTTACATCGTGGGAATCATGACACTCCGGCGCCGCGCGTGCTTCGAAATTCGAAGACAAAATAGACTCCAAGCCCGGCAGAAAACTTTTCTAAACAAAAGCACGCAAACGTCTGTTTCTAATTGTGTGTATTTGGTTTTATTCTGTTTGTGCAAAGACGTTTGCTGAATGCAACAACCTTTCCCTGTAGTTTTAAAGACTGAAACTATCCTTATATTCGTTTATCATGTTGGCACAAAATGCGGTTGAAACATCAAATGTATAAGGAGATTGTTGCTTTTCTGCGTCAACCTGTGGGTCTTTTTTTCTCTTATCCACTCATAATGATATTTTTGCGTCAAGCACTGTGCGCATTTGCTTTTGTTGTTTTTGCAGTTTGGGCTGTGCATTATTTCCTTTTGAAGCTTGGCAGTTTGTGCTTTGCGTTATTTCGCTTTGACGTTCTTGCAGTTTACAGTTTGCTATTGCACTTATTTTTTAAGTAGGTTCAGAGGTAATTGTCGAAAAAGAAAAAGAAAATAAATAATTTGGTTTTCTCCTTCTTTTTTACATGTTAAATTGATATTGACAAAAAAACGGAATGATGCCTTGTCATTTCCGATGCGTAGCTAATCCTATTAAGGTGTGCGACGCGCTCCGTACGCTCCGCGCTGTTGAATGTATCGTGCAGTCCTAGACCAATGGCGTTTACCGCAGGAAATCATTAGAAATAGGTAACCGCGGAGAGGTTACTTGTTCTTCACGTTGCTGTGGCGGTGGTGGTGGCGGTGGCGCTGCGGACGTCGACTGATAGTCGCATTTGTGCTGCGCTTTTGTTTATGGGGGCTGCCGATGACGCATTCTTCTATGTAGTCGACGAGGTTCTCGACTTCGCCCTTTAAATTTGCAACGTTTTTTTGTTGTTGCTTTGTTTGCCTTCTTTTTTCTTGTTTTAGTTCTTCAGTTTCATATGAATGTTTACTCTTTCGTTAAATCTTCAAAATCTTTTTTTTCTTTACACTCATTTCAAATGATTGAAATTGTTTGCTTAGCTGATGTAGTTTGAGTTCTTTTCTTAGCCCATGGATTTCTTGCTGCAATGCCGACATGGCTTGCTGAATGCAAATGACTGTCTGCCCAAGGGTTGAAACAGGTTCGCGGAATGAATTTTCCTAATAATTTCGCTCTTTTGGGGTTTCCTCTCTAACCGGTCTTCTGTTTTCATGTCAAATTCGTGCATGTGTGCGTTTGGGTCTCTTCTTCAGCCATATCTAGAATTGTTTGATTAGTTGAGTGTATACAATGCTTTCATAATAGGATAATATATGAAGTTCAAACAGTGAATAAAAAATACGGATACAAAAAGTGGCATACGTAAGATCAAATGTGCCATGCGCATAAAGACCCGTAATAATAGAAATGAAATTTTGAGAGAGGCTGCATTGCAAAATGTGGACTATTTTTGTGGATATCCATATCCCGGCGATAAGCTTTGACATAAGCTTTCTTGCTTTCCTCGACACGCTGTGACTGTTACGATCAACGCGATGATCAAGGTGAAAAAAAAATGCCCGTTAAGAATATGAAGTTTTGCTTCATAATTGAAAAGAATTCGGGTATATCTGGTAATTCCAGTTCGAAAGCGTTGAAAGCATCTGTGTTTGTATTACCTTGCAGAGCTTTTATATTATCGAATGGACGTATTCCTTCAATGAAAGGTGATTGGCCTGTGATTGAGAATATTTGCCGATTTGTGCCGCATTTTACTTGGCATTTTCCTTTGAATATGGCTTTATTGGCGTAAAAATGTATCTCATTTGTATATCCTGTTGGTGTACAAATCATGCAATTTCAGTACTTGCTTCTAGTGTCCGTATTGTTAGTCTATCTTATTTACCTTCGCATTTATTAACGCAAGCATCTTGATTGGTAGGATTTGACTCAAGCAGTTTACGCTATCTTCCGCTGGGCTGCAAGAGCAAGTGTAGCGGATAATGCATTCTTTTTTCCAATGCAGTGAATAATCATTTTTTGCGTCGACACATGCTAGCTAAAAGTGTGTTGTTATTTAATCTTGACGTCATTTTTGAAATTATCAATGAACGTGTCGCCTAGAAGAGGCGTGGTTGGTATTTATATCAATGTTATTTCTATGCGCATGCCATTGAAATTTTTTTGAACATTTGTTCAAATTCCATAGTGTGGGTTCTGTGACTTTTGATGAAAATTTATTATCGCAATTGAAAGTGCCACCACCATTGATCAAGTGGGACAATGAGAAACTTTGTACAAATCTTTGTCTGTTGGAACGTGGTAAATTCTTTAGAAAAGGCATCCTAAGGAAGGAAATCCGCAGGAGCACCCCAATTCCCGACATGTTTCAGTGCAGTACGTTTTTCTGGTGATTGTTCAACATTAAAAGTTCTTCTATTCTTGAGACAACTATGATTTTAGCACGTTTTGATCCTGAGCATGTAATCGTGCATGAACAAAGCTTGATGTGCTGCACTCGAGTTTCTGAATTGCGAGTATAGTAAAAGCTCGCTTTATTGCACCTTAAAATGACTTTTTTCAAAGTAACTTTTGTTTGTGAAATTGTGATGTTACGATGCTATATGTGAAAACATGCTTCGTTGTAAGGGGATTATTTTTAGTAGTAATGCATGCTTTTTGGTG